TAGGAACGAAGAAAGTGTGTGTATATATATATGTATGTATGTATGGGATGTGTGTGCGTGTGTGTGTGTATGTGTGTGTGTGTGTGTGTGTGTTGGGGGGTCCCTTCTGCTTGGAGGAGGAGGAGGGAATGTCTGGATATACTTTATAGTCACGCTGAAGTCACACTGATGTGAGTGCGTGGGCATGGCGTTGGGTGGGGAGAGGCCCCCCGCCCAGAGCCAGTGGAAACACGGGAGCTCAGCCCCACAGCCGCAGGGAGCTGAATTCTGCCAAGAGGCAGAGAGAGCTCGGGAGCAGATTCTCCCGTGGAGTCTGCAGATGATCGTGCAGCCCTGGAGGACACCGTGGTTGCAGCCGGGCAAGACCCTAAGCAGAGAAGTCAGTCATGCTGTGCCCACAGAAACCGTAAGGCGTTTTGTCACACAGCAATGGCAAACTCTTACCGGAGTAACCATCTGATTTGTATCTTATAAGGTAACTCTTTGACCCTGAGAGATTTCCCCCTTTTATTGGATCATTCTCAGGAGCACAGCGTGCTCTGGTATCCGCTTCTTAAAAGCCTGCACAGCAGAGCTGCTCGAACTGGTTGTCACCACCCCTGGCCCACCCCAATGAGAAGCGGCTGCCCCCTCACTTTGAAGCACCTTCTTTTCCTGGCTTTTGTGCCTCCCCTGCTGGTGGACATTTCCAGGTCTGCCACCTGGAGTTCTCCCCATGGCAGTAACCTGCACAGTGGGGTCCGCGAGTCAGGGATGACTCGGGGGAACTCCTACTCCATCTCTTTGAACCCTTGGACTTTGCCTCACGTGCCTGCCCCTTCCTGTGTGACCACCTCCACTGCTAATCAGGGTCACATCCAGATCTGGTCTCTTGTGATCACACTGATCAAACAGGGCCCACCTGGCAGTGGAAGTCTCCTTACCGGGATGTGACATGTGGCCCTCTGTCCAAGCAGCAGTGGCTTGCCCGCTTGGCACTCACCACAGAGATACTAATACAGGGATCTGCACGCCCCTCCTTTGGTGGATGAGTCAGGTGCATCCTGTCACTGGACAGAGTGGCTACTGCAATTTGTTGCTTGCCTTGACTTAGTGTTTTATAGAACCATCTGGCACCCATGCACACAGGTGGCATATCCCAGTTCCCAGAGGGGCTCATCAGAGCCCCTAGTGGGCATGTCACTAAATGACAGCAGCCTCCTGCAGGAGCAGGTAGCATGTGGCTCTTGGGCTGGGTACCGCCCTGCTTCCAGGCCAAGGGAAACAGGAACGCATGCGTGGTGGCAATACACACTGCCCCTCGCCACGTCTTGAGCCCCCTTTCCAATCTACTTCCTGTCTCCTGGTCCTGAGGAAGCAGAGATCCTCGCTTTTTAAAAAAAAATTTTGATTTTTTAGAGATGGGATTTTTTAGAGATGGGGTGTTGTTATGTCGCCCAACTCATAGGCTCAAGCGATCCTCCTGCCTCAGCCTCCTGAGTAGCTGAGACTGCAGGCGTGTGCCACCACGCCAGGCTCAGATACTTACCTTTTAATCAGTGTGGCTCAGACACTTACCTTTTAATCAGCGTGGCCTGCATGTGACCCGCATCGCAACTCTGTGCTTTGGAGGAAGTCTGCCTCCCCGCACAGCACCTCCCGTGCCCTGAGCGCGGCTAGACTGAGAGTTGTGTGCCAGGAGCACGGAGCTTCCCACTCGCCCAGACCAGTCACACCACAATGGCTAGAGGCTTCAGATAAATTCACAGGTGAGAGCTCAGCTCACTCATCTGCAAGCAAACCAGGCTTTGCCAGCACATGTGGGGTGAAGGGGGACCCCACAGAGAATGTGGAAATATGCAGTTTCCCCACTGCCTCACCGTGTGACCTTGGGAAACCACTCAGCCTTGCTGTGCCAGCCCTCCCCAGGTCGCATGGAGAGCAGCACCTGCTCCCGGCTGCTTCCCAAGAACATGACGGAGATGAACCACTCTGTTCCTCTCAGCTGTGCTCAGGCCCGAGGGCGGGCCACACAAACCCCACATAAGTACGAAGAAGAGTCATTTCTGAAAATTCCCTTTCTTTAGCTGCCTTTTTATAACTCATTTTTTTGGTGGAAGAATTAATTCAGTTAAATTTTATTAGGACCAAGGGCAGGAGAGGATCTGAGCTGGAGAAGGGTTTTGCAGCACACAATCTGTGTGCACAAGAGCAAAAACAAGATCCCTGAATAAGACAACACCTCATGTGCAAGACTGGAAACCTGGTCATCCAGATGGGGTTTTATGGCAATACCGGAGCCAATAAACTGTAATAAATGTTCACAGAAGTGGAGGGAACGAAATCAAACCAGATGGGAGTTATACAGTGAGTGTGGGGTGGCATAGAGCCCTGGTTTTGTTCCAAGCAGGAGAAAGTTAGGAGAAGACACACCGAGAGAGCCAGGGTTGGGGGGACAAGGGCCAACAGAGGCCGAAGCCTGGCCAGGTAAGGGGAGAGTGGGTTGGGACAGGGCCATGACCCAGAACCAGTGACTGAAGTGTCACCGGGCACCCTCCCTGGGATGGCTGGCTCTCCTCAAGCATGACCACAGTCTGGCCTCTTCCCTGTCCCTTATCGACCTTCTCTCTCTGATCTGGAAGCCTGGGCCCACAGTCTTGGCACCCGGAACCATCCTTTCTCAAGGTAGGAATACTGCAGAAAACGCCGGTAAGATTCCCCCAGCTGACCTCGGCCACTAGCTCAGCAGTGATTTAATACCTTCAAAAAGGGTGTTAGTTTCCATCCGATTTTTAAAAATAAAAACATCCCCAAACCTCAGCCCTCAGGTGTTATTATATTACCCTCATGAAATGACTATTCCAGTTCCTAAGCCATATTTACAATATAATTATGTTATTTCCCTTTTTCCTTTAGCTCTGTGGGCTCTTTCTTGGCTCCGTATATCTGAGTCTTGATTAGAAATCCATGCTAACCAACTCAAGGCTGGGTATTGGAAAGCCACTGTGACCGACAGAACAAATGAAATCTCCTTGTGTTTAGTCAGCACAACCTCATGCTACTTGTGCCAGCAAAGGCCTCTGAGGTTTGGGGAATTTGAAAAATCTAAGGGCTTAGCTTACAGATACAACAACCAAATGGCTCCCAGCTGGAACCAGGGGGTGGATTTCCGTCCGTGTTTCTGGCACCGTCAAGGCAGTAGGATTTGCTGAGGGCATCTTTCAGGGCTGCTTCTCTCTTCCCACCCCAAGCAGAGCAGTCACCATTTAACCACATGGCCAGAGGCGCTGGCAAAGTCAAAGCAGTGAAAGTATTACAACTCGGAAGGAAAGACAGAAAGTGACAGTTAATCTGGAAGGTAGTGAAGTCCCCCTCAAGGCAGCCGCCAATCCCCCGTCTGGCCGGGGCCACACTGTAACATACACAGGCCCAGCTGGATCAAGGGAGCTCACTGAGACTACACTGCAGCCTTCCCCTCTCACCCCAAATCCCCAGAAATGATAGGAAAGATGTTTTTTTAAATTGCCAAGCATCTTAGAAAGCAAGGCGTGCTCTCTGTATACCAGAAACCATGAGCAGTCATAAAAAACGAAAGGCAGATGTTTTATTCTTCCTGAAAAAGGAAACCCTAACTCAAAATGCACACAAAAAAAACCTCTGCAAAAGGGGGAAAGGTGCTCCAGCCGGAGGTGCTGGCTATTAGGACAGGAGGGGACAGATACGCAGACTAGATGGCTGTTACCGGCCAGGAGGGACAGAAAGCCCGGAGGACCAGCTTCTCACACAACCTGGCAGAACGCACCTCACTGGACCCGACTGCATCTTCGGGGCGGTAAGCCGCACTAAGCAGGCCGCCAGGAGTTTAAAGTACAAGAATGACCACACAAACGAGAACCACCAAATATTTAAGGAAATTCAAAACCAAGAAAGAGCCACAAAACTCAACTACAAAAAGAATTTACACACGAGGAAACAGAGTTAATATAGCAGACCAAAACAATTTAAAAAATTGAACATAATATCCTTAAAGAGATGCTAGAGGATATATTATTTTAAAAGAGATGATAGATTTCGTCACCAAAGTAAAAACTCAACACACAGGCTGAACACTACAATGGCTATAAAGGGAGTCAGAAATTTGAGCTGAAGAATCGTTCTCTCCAGAACTGCACCTGTCTGATAGGGCAGCCGCTGGCCACATGGCTGCCGAGCCCCGAGACGTCGGCTGGTCTGAATTTGAGATGTACCGTAGGTGTCAAATACATACCAGGTTTTGAAAACTTAGCACCAAAAATAAATAAATAAATGAAGTATTTCATTAGTAGTTTTTAAAATATTGATTGGGTTAAATAAAATGTTATTAAAAGGAATTTTACCTGTTTCTTTTTGCTTTTTACATGTGGCTAACTAGAAAACTTAAAGTAATACACGTGGTTCACATTACATTTCTAACAGACGGAGCTGCTGCTCTAGAACCCAGAGCGAAAGGCGCACAGAAAGTGTGACAGTTAGGGTACAGAAGAAGGATCCAGACAGATCAGCATCCGTTTCTCCTTGCGGAAGGGAGAAAGCATGCTGGGGTTGCAGGTAGCGGGAAAAACACTGACGATAGAGGGAAATTTCCCAGGACTGAACAGACACGAATACCAACGAGGCGGGCATTGCCACTGACGCTGGGAGCAAGGTCAGGCTGCCTGTTCCCATCCTCGCTAGTTAACACCGTCCTGAAGGTTCCAGCCAATGCAGCAATGTAACAAGAAGGGAGGAAGAGACATGTTCTTATTTGCAGAGGGAATGACTGCCGACGGCTCTCCCCTCTCACTCTCCTTCCCAAAGGCCTGGTGCAAACAGGCTTCTCCGTTTCTGGCCTCCAAGGCAGATGAAGGCAGGACACATCCACCCACTCTCCTTCCCGGGCAGGCCTGTGGTGACCCAGGAGGAGCTGACAGGAGCAGCCAAGAGAAAGGAGATCGAAGCCCCCGCCCCGATAACCAGCGGTGGGGTGTGGGAAGGGCACTTACCGCCGGACGGCGTTGGCAAACTCCGCAGCCAGCTCGCTATCGCTGCACGTCGTCCTCAGTTCAGCTAGGGACAGAGCTGGGGAGGCAACATCGGCACTCTCCTGACAACAGCAAACACATTCTCGTTAGACCAGGAGCCAAGCCTGACAGCATCTGAAGTGCTTTGGTGAAGGGACAAGCTGGGCAGGGAGCCAAAGAGCCCCCTCTGCTCCCAGATATCTGGTCACCTTCACAGGCTGGCCAGGGGGTGGCGATGACACCCAGTGTGCTCTGCACACACCACATGCATTCACTCATTTAATCATCCCAGGGCTCTTGGGGCAGGAGCTGCCATTATCCCCATGTCACTGGGGAGGAAACCAAGGCACAGGGCAGTTACGCTGCCCGCTCAGCAGCGAGGACGCGGTGGAGCCAGGATTCAAAGCCAGGCCGTCTGGCTCCAGATCAGTCTCTTCACCGCTAGGTAAAGCCTCTTGTAATGACAAAGCCAAGTGAGAAATACACGTGAATATCCTTGTTGCCCCGTCCCGCCCCTCCTTGGGAGAAAACCAATCTTCTCTAGATTTAGGAGCTTTACTGGTTCAGTGTAATCACTGAGACAACTGGGCAAGGAGGAGGACAACAGAAGCGTGCCCCACCCCCACAGACTAGCATCAGACAGGGACCTCGACATCACCTAAACCAAGTCCTTCCATTTACAGACGAGGAGAGCTAAGAGCCAGAATCCTAAATCCTAAAGAGAGTTAAGACTGTTCACAAAACACCGTCCACGCCTGCCTGAGTGCTCTGCTTTCTCCGCATACAGACAGAGCAGCAGCTACACCACACAGGAATGTGGCCGGGAGTGGCGGGGAGGGGACACTCATCTGACGATCTGCTCTACGGACACGAGGATCTGCCCTGCTGCAGGCCTGACGTTAACGAGCTTGCAACCCAACACAGGAGATGGAATGTGAACAGAGAACTGTATCAGGATGGGATGAGCGCTGCAAAGAGGCATGATCCAGTGTGCTAGGAGTCCAGAAGACAAGAGGCGCACTGCATCCCTGAGCACACTCTGAAACAGAAACGCGTTCCACCTGGGGGGCTCCTGGGCAGCAGCACGGCCCACACCTGCCCGCCCTCCCCTCTGCTGTGCCCTCTGCCCGGACCCCTCCCCTCCCTCCTCTAGTTGTGCTCACAGACCCAAGTGCCCCTGGAATCTGTCGCTTATGTATATCCATTCCCATTTGAGGTTAGTATTTCATAAGATTCCTTGAAGACAGGGACTGCTGCGTCTCATACACACATCGGGTAACATCTGGTGCGTACAGACAAGAACCGCAAAAGCCTAATGCAACTTGGGTAAGATCTGGGATCCAGTTGTGCTGGTTGGAGAGAAGTTTCTAAAACAAGCATGAACACTTACCCAGTGGAGCGAAGGTGGCCACCACCTGTTTTTATACGACCCACAGGCTAAGAATGGTATTTCTATTTTTAAAGTCACAAAAAAGTCAAAAGAAGAATATTTTGTGACACGTAGAAATTACATGCAATTCAAATTTCAGGTCCATAAATAAAGTGTTACTAGAACACAGCCATGCCCACTGGTATCCCTGCTGTCTCTGCGCACTGTAACTCTACAACGCAACGGTGAGTCTGTGACTCTCAAACTCTAAACCACGTACTGACTGGAGGCCCCTGTGCTGGACCATCTGCCTTATCTACCAACAGGTAAGACGAAATGAATAGCCCAGACAGGACGTTTTAGCCACATAGTAAATGGATCTAATATTTGAAAGATGAGCTAATTGGCTTATTCTAATTTCACTACCTGAACAACACAGGCTACTCTTACAAAGCTTCTTACTGTAATGTTAAAAAAAAAAAAAAAGTCACCTGGCCTTTTCCATCAGAGAAATTTCTGTACTTTAAAGCCATTCCACAAAACACAGTGCTTCTCTCAGTCAAAATAAACACCGTGAACTAGAGGAGAAGGCTCAGTTCATGGGCCGCCTGGCAAGAGCCCGGTAAGTCCGTTTCCACTACACCCTGGGAACACACAAACACAAACACTGCTGCTCTGTCCCCCAGGCTCTGTCCCAAATTGACTGCTAACAAGTTCAAAAGGCAAAAAAAAGAGATTTGAAGGTGTTTGTATGGAACAGAAACACAATCTTCCTGAGCCCCAGATGCTACCGTATGAAATGGGACCGTGTGGCTGGTCCCCGCACTCCACTCCCCAAGCCTTGGGTGGATGGTTTCATAGTGCACTTGTCACAGTGACTTCTCTAAAGCCCAAACTGTGTCACATCATCCCTGCTGAAGACCCACCATGATTCCTCACTGTCCTAAGGATAACCCCTGCCAACACACCACCTCCACTTCCCGCTGGGCCTTTGCATGTGCTGCCCCACTGGCCTAGAGGTGTCACCTTCTCTCCCCTGGCCCTCTGCCCTGCCCCTCTTCAACAGGCTGGCTCCCACTCTCCACTGCGTCTCAGAAGTTCATTTCTTCCAGAAAACCTGTCCTGCAAATCTGAGTTCTGTGTCCGACTTGTAGCCTCCCATGGCACTTGGGACATTCTATCACTGCACTGTGATCTTCCGTTTGCTCATCCGTCTCCCCCCAGAAGGTAAATCGCTGGAGGACAGATCTTGTCTGTCCGTGTGGAGCTGCCTTGGACCGAGCTGTACGTAACCGGGCATGCTGTGAGCGCCAGATCCCAGCTATCAACTGTGGACGGATGAAATGCAGCCAAGGTCTTGGGAGGGCTGGCCCGGCTGGCAGCCACCGCCGTGTGCCCACTTGCTCCTCAGCAGGTGGGGGTGGGGAAGGTGTAGCTGTGGCCATCTGGGAAGCATGCTTCTGAGTTCTCAGCTATTTAGGGAGTGACAGCTCACTGCCACACAGCACCGACACTGTTCCTTCCTTCCCAGGTACACAACTCTCTCAGAGACACCCCTGCGCTTGTGCTATGAGAAGACACTTAATGAACCAGCAAGTCGGCAAATGCCCACACATCCTGCTCTGACACAAAGTGGGCTCGAGAGAAACTTGCCTGTATTAGAACAGAAAAATATGATGCACAGAATATGCAGTATCCTTAGACAGGGATTTAATTCTTTAGGGTCTAGAGGGTTTTTTCCTTCCAATGCCATTTTTGGAATAGTTTTGAGGTACAGGATAATGGAATGAACTTGGATTCCAAAAAAAACCCAGAAAGACCTGGGGGCTGATAGGAGCGTGAGCTGCAGAATTATGTCAGCAGACAGCCCACTCTCTGAGGATGCAGGCTCCATAAGCTGAGGCTCGCCTTCCTCCTCCTCTGCCTCCAGGCGGCTTCCGGTGCACCACCCGTGACGGCAGCAACGCAGAGGAGAGGAAGAGAGCCCATTAGTCACATTTGAGTTACATCCCGATTCTGCCATTTATTACTTGTGTGAACTCTCACTTCTTTTGAGCCTCATTTTTCTCATGTACGTGGAGATAACAATTCTCTCCTCAGAGGTGTGAGATGTAAGGGAGATAAACATACTGATTAGTATGCCAGCCCCCACTTCTCTGCAGCTTGCTGCACATGATCAGCCATGGTCCATAAATATTAAATGGAAAATTCCAGAAACAAACAATTTCTAAGTTTCAAATTGTGCGTCGTTGCTGAGTAGCATGATGAAATCTTGCACTGTCTCACTCCGTCCCCCTCGAGCCTTCATCTAGCGTAGCTACGCTGTCTACACTTCCCGCCCCTTTGTCACTCAGTGGCCGTCTTGGCTACCAGATCAACAGTTGCGGTACCGTAGTGCTGTGTTCAAACAATCTTTATGTAATGACGACCCCAAAGTGCAAGTATAGCAAAGCTGACATATTGTCATGATGGCCTATTTTATTATTAATTATTGCTGTTAATTGCTGTGTCTCATTTATAAACTTTATCATAAGTATATACGTACAGGAAATAACAAGGAATATATAGGGTTCAGTTTTATCTATGGTTTCAGGGGTCTTGGAGCGTAATCCCGATGGATAAGGGCAGTACTATGTACGTATCAACAAGGGGTCGCTGTGTGAAAAGGGTTTAGGAGGAGCTGAGGCTACATCAGACCACCAGGCATTGCACAGATCACGCCTCTGATGGGACTGTGATATGTTTTAACTATTACATAAAGTGAAAACTCTTTTTTTAAAAATGTGGTAACACTCAAAATGCGACCTTCTTCTTAGATATCTAGGAATGACCTGCGGTTCCTGTGCAAATATAAGAAATGGAGGCAGCAGGGCAGTGAGGTATGGCCAGAGGTCACCAGGCAGAAGTGACGCCTGGGCCTGAGGGTGTCCCTGAGCCACTGCAGGCCCTACCTTGCTGGGTTTGTCTTTGCCGCCGCTGCTGGTGGAGCTGAGCGACCGCATCCGCTGCTCCTTCTGCTCCTCCACCTCGGACTTGAGGTGCTCGATGTGCACCAGGTAGGCCTGCTCCTGGGCCTCCCGTGTGCTCAGCTTCAGCTCCAGGGCCTTCTTCTCTTTCTCCAGCAGGTAGAGCTGGGCCTTCAGCTCGGCCATCTCCTCCTACGGAGCAAAGGACACACAGCGTATGAGGCGTCCATGATCTGAGAGCAGGCCTGGCCACCGCCAAGTGGGTGAGGAGAAAGGGGGTCCCCAGCCGTAATCCAGAGACTCGTGAGAGAGTCATCACTTTGGTGCTAAGAATCAGATGACTGGGAGGAGACATGACAGCTGTCTCCACACATCTGAAGGACTGACGTGTGGACGAGGCCATGTGCTTTGTCACTCTACAGACTGAGAGAAACGGGTAGAAGTTACAGGCAAGCAGGTTGTGGTTCAAAATAAGGAAAACCTTTGCAACAACTAGAACCCTCCGAACGGGCACACTTGGCTGCTGGAAACCAGTTAGCTGTGCAGGGAAAGCTGGGTCTGACTAGATCCCTTCCAACTCCCATTTCAGTTTCTGATGGCACCAAGCCACATATTACCCGCCCTGGTCGCCATGCAGCTGGGCCAGGTGGTGGGAACGCCCACAGCTATATCACCCTCCAGTCTCGCCTACTCTGAGGGCCCGAACGAAATCAACAGGAACAGAGTTCTTCACCAGTGACTACTAGTCAGGTAACTTCCAAAAGTATCTTAAAGAACTCAAATGAGAGCTGTCCATGGAGAAAAGGAAGTGAACCCAAAAGAGGACAATGCGGTCCTGGCACAGGAAGCCAGATAACGATGGTACCCGCCAGCCTTTCTTGAGCATGTAACACTGTTTTAAGTGTTTCCCTAATCCTCCCAACCTGAGGTATTGTGAGTATCTCCGCTTATAGATGGGAAACTGAGGCACACAGAAGGGAATTCACCTGCCCATGGCTGCTGGGTTAGTTGTGGAGCCAGAGTGGGAACCCAGGCCGTCTGCGCGAGAGCCCAGGCTTGTGCGCACCAAGCTATGCTGCCCTCTGTCCTTCAGGATGGGCCCTCGCGTGACTCCTATCCTCTGCCAGGGGTGAGTCCACTGCTACATGCCCACCGGGTCCAGCGTCCCCAGTGATCTCTGTGATCCCCTCCTTTAAAGGATTCCTCATAGAGCTGAGTCACTATCCTCAGACGGACTTACCCATGTCACTGGTTCTGGCTGCCCCCGAGGTAACCCTTCTCTGAGGGCACAGGCCACCGATCTGGTGTGCTCTCCTGGGTGCGTTGGCTGGGGGTAGCTGTGCTGGTGGGGGAATAGCTGGAGGGCACCCACCCAGGATTGTCACACTCAGGACTAGAGGACATTAGTCAATGTGCTCAGTGATTACTCAGAATGTACCAAACCTTTTTTCCCCTGAAGCTCAGACATGAAAACCAGAATGAAATGTGTTTCCATACTCAGAAGGTTTCTCATCTTTTGCCATTAGAAGCAGGATTCTGAAGGTTCTGGCAACACTGAGCTAATGTGGATGGTCACTTCCAGAACAAACATAAATGCATGCTTCAAAGAAGGAAGGATAAATCCATGGGTGCCAGAAACGGAGAGGGAACTCCGCCAGGAGGGAACAGCCAGACGGACAGAAGGCCGGCTCACAGGGGCATCAGACCGGTCTGCAGGCCCTGAGCTCTGGAAGCTTGATGTCTGTGCCAGGGCAGGGCCTCGGCCTCTGTGAGCTCGGACTCTCAAAGCACTGCCAAGAATAAGAGACTGGAAAGCTTCCTTTCCGGAGATGTGGCAAGGAAACTTGTCATCTCTCAGGCTCTGGGTAGGAAAAGCAAGAAAAATCTCTTTTGAGGAATCAAACCTCAAACTTGAGTCATGCGTAGGTGTGATACAGGAATCCTAAGCCAAGAATGTAACAAAAAGCAGCCCTAAACCTCGGAAACCCATGGGTCCCAGCAGGTCTAACACTGTAGAACCACTCTGAGGGGACATCTGCAACCCTGGATCCCCAGGACCCCGTGGGAAACGGTGTCCATGGAAGATGAGCCAGAACTTGCATTCTCGTCCCTGCCCTCGCACCAAGGAAATGAAAATGAACAGCACTGACGTGGAATCAGCAGATACAAGAAGCGGAAATAACAATGTGAAAAACTAGCAAATAAAGATTTAAAACAATTAAACAGATAAAGGAATAGGAGTCACAGTGAAAGGACAGGACATTTAAAAAAGAAGAGTGCATCTGGAAAGGAACCAATGAGATCACCTACCAATGAACACGTATTTCCTAAAGATCACGTAAAAGAAGTGAGAATAATCCAGAAACTGGGTTTCTCGGCAGCTGTATCCCAGAACAACATGGTGCGATGCGACGTGACCTGCTGGAGACCGGATGTGGTGTGGGCGAGCACACAGCCCCAGCGCCCCGGGCGGGACCCGCAGAAGAGGAGAGGACTCCCGCGTTCAGCTGGAGAGAAATTCGCAGGAAGGGCGCCGAGCCGGATGCCAGCAATGGCTGCCCTGGATCATGGTTATGGATTATTCCCCTCCCAGATTTTCATAGTTTTTACTTTTTTGGAAAATTTCTAAGATCAGTACACATTTTATTTTCAAGTGGCAAAGGGAATATTAGAGCTTTTATTCCAACAAAAATGTCATTCCTGGCCAGAATACCACTGAATTGATCATGCCACACATTGCCCAGAATGTAAAAAGGAAAACCTCAGTCTTTAGCCCAAGAAAACATGATGTTTGGAACAAATATCGGAAGGGCAGCCTCAGAGCTGGTGCCACAGGGTGCAATGGGCCACAAAAAGGGCTCACGATCGTGGGGGAAGTCACCGTGATCATGGAGCCAAGGCCGGCTTGTGAGCAATGACAGCAGAAGTCAGCCAAGCGACGTGAGATGTCTCCAGAGAGAAGTCAGGGTCTGAGCTCAGTGGGTGGATGAACATAAGCAAGTCTGGAAACGACTGGGCTGAGGGAAGGAGGTGAGATTCCTGCATCTGTTACCACTGCCTAGCATCTTCCCAGACTTCACGCAGACCCAAGCAGCCACCGAGGACAGGACGTGCTGAACAAGTCACTCCCGAGTGTGTTGGGATGGCTGTTGCTGACAGCGCCTCTCCATGTCGTAACCAGAGTTTTTCTCTGAGGGCAGTATTGACCCCAACAGAGAAGACTGGTTAGGAGCTATTAACTCAGCACTGCCACAACACACGCTGGCCTGCTACACTTGCCGCTGGTTCCTGCTTGTGACCCTCCTTCTACCCCTGGGAACACCTCCCTCAAATTTTGACTCCTGGGAGCCAGAGGCGTGGAAGCATCCAAGGCTGTGCAAGTCAGGCCTTTGCTTGCAGGAGAGCTGAATTTGGAAAGCAGGTTTGGGAATAAGGCTTCCAGCCCCCAACTCTCCCATGTAGCAGGGCCTGGCGGTGGAGCCCTATGTTGACCCAGGACCTGCAGGGGCAGCCCCAGGCGGGTTCCCACCTCTACTGTGGGTCTGCTGAGACACAGGTTGCAGTGACACAGGTCCACGCTCCCCACAGGCTGTTATTCTGTTTCCACTCCAGCTGGGTGGGCTGCAGCACAATTCTGACTCTAACTACACGGAGTTAGCATAGACCCTGTCCAGGCTGAGGCCCAGTTCTCCACAGACTGCCCTCACTTCAGGTGCCAGCCGTGTGCCTGCAGTGGGATGAACACCAGGCCATCTGCACTCTGCCTGCAAATTTGGGGGAACCCATGACCCTCTCAGGATCAATAATTTGCTAGAACATCTTGTGAAACCAAGGAAAGCACTATGCTAACAATCACGGTTTTATTATAACAAGTACACACAGGGCAAGGTCCAAGAGAATCCTGAACACAGATCTCCTTCCTGTGCCCTCTCCTCGTTGAGTCAGGCTGTGTCGCCCTGTTGGCACATCAATATGTTCACCAACTGGAAAGCTTCTCTGAGTGTCAGAGTTTTTATTGGGGTCTCATTAAACAGGCATGACTTATTAAATCATTGGCCACATCATGGACTCAAGCTCTGTCTCTCCTCCCCTTCCTGGGGGTCGGGTAGCTGAAAGTCCGAACCCTCCATCATGGGCTCTTCCTTCTGGTGACCAGCCCACATCCTGAAGCTGTCAAGGGGCCCACCATGAGTCACCTCATTAGCATAACAAAACAATCCTATCATGCAGGAAATTCCAAGGGTTTTTGAAGCTTTGTGCCAGCAACCAGGGACAAATACAACATAGTCACATAGTGGTAATTACACCACAGCTGCCTTCTGAGAGTCGCCAGCAGACGACAGGCTGCAGCCTGGCACCCCTGGCCAGAAACATGCAGAGTGTGCCCTGCCGAAGGGATGGCAGTTCCACCACTTCCCAATGAGGGGTACTGGCTTTCCAAGAAAGCTACCCCTGCTCTAGAAATGCCAGCAGATGACTCCACCAGCGGGTGAACAGCTCGAGATCTGATCAGGAAACGCTGACCTGAACAGCCCTGCAAACCTTCACTGGAGGGCACTATGGCCCGAGTAGGCTCAAATTTGTACCAAAGGGATCAGGGTGTCAGGAAACCAGGGCTCTCAGCCAAATGCTGCAACTGGCCTTAGCTGTTCCCCCCCGGCCTCAAGTTAACATTATCAGCAGCAACCCAGGGAGCACTTTCCAGCATTCTGAGATTCGGGTCATCTTAGGTGGAGAGAGACTTACTCCACCCAGCAGAGGTCCGATCTGGTTTCTCTCAAAGGATGAGGTGTTCCAAAGCTGGGCTGGGACGCCCCAAGAAATCCTCTAGAATTCCACTCACCACCCCAGGAATCTCCAGCACAAATGACCCCAGACATATTGAAACCATCCCTGCCTGCAAACGAGGCTCTGGCTCCTCTATAGGGTGGGGGTGATGGAACATGGGTGAGGTTGCTTCCTCACCACTTGCTGGACCTGCTTTCAGAGGCCTCTTAGATTCCTTCTGATGACACCCCGGCATATACCTTCATGGCCATCAGCTCCTGCATCAGCACGGCGTTTTCGAGATCCAGCCGCTGGCTGTCTCCCCGGGGCTTGACGTCGTAGCTGAGGGGGTCGATGTGGATGCTTTCCAGCTCCAACATGGTCAGCTTGACGGCGGCCCTGTCGTTCTTGAGCTGCTGGATGTAATCCTTCAGCCGCTGTTCATCCTCCTTAGTGAACTCCGTGTCGCAGCTACTGGCTGTGGAGCTGGTTGTGCTGGGAAGAAAGAAAAACAAGACACACTACACGTTTGCAAGTTGTCGCCACAAGATCCTTCCTCCCTACTCTTCTGCACACTCCCTCTCCCCAGCGTGACGGAGGTGGCATCCAAAATCAATTTTCTTCCCGGCTTAGGCAAACTATACCGCCTTTTAGGAAACAATTAGGTATGAATAATAATAGAAATGTTTACACCCTTTGATTCAATGCTGTGGACCTCAGAAATGAATTTCTAAGGAAACGATTCCAGAGAAGCAAAATGACACACACAAAGATGTTTCACGAAATACCATCTAAAATACGGTTTAGTGAATTATCATACATATCAAAAGGAGGGAAATTATGTGGCTATTATAGTGATGAATTATGACAATGGTGAAGTTTTAAGTGAGGAAACAGAATGAAAAATAACACGTGTGTAATAAAAATCGGTGTACATGTGTTCAGAACTTAAAAAAGGGATATGTTAAGGGAATGAATAAGTTGAAGAACAAAATACTAATACACAATCTATATGGATGGGGGCGCGTGTATCCCAGGCTGTGGCCACAGTGCCCTGGGGGCGGGAGCCAGAAGGAGGGGCACTGATGGGGATGTTTTGCTCTACTTGTGTTGCTTGCATCTTGTACCATGAAAAATATGGATGTGTCATACGGCAAACACCACTCTGAAAGCGGGGTGCCCCCAGGCCTCCACAGCACAATCTGAGTATAGCATCCGCTACCAACACTCAGGTTGGGCTATGGGGCCCTGGCAGCCTGTGCTGACTGGTGACCGGGCAGGGGCCATTGGGCTTGAGGAGCACCCAGCCAGACCCCAGGCCTGTGGTGGCCCAGGAATGTTTCTAGAGGACCAACCCACCTTGAAAGGGTGAGCACCGCTGGAAAACTGCGCCCGGGGCTGTCATGAGCCCAGTGGCTCAGAATAAGGAGCATTCCACCCAGCCAGTCCTCGGGGAGTCTGGGGCCCGTGGGGACTGACAGCAGCTTCTCTGCACTTGCACTGGGCCGGCCTGGACTCATGCCTCACGGGACTGTTTCAGAAGGGTGGCAGAAGAACAAGCAGGGGCCCACTGAATTCTCACAAGAGAGACCGGTTTGGCACTGTCCTCTCTGTTGTTACAGATTTGGAAAGTGAAGCTCAGAGACATTAGCTTGCTGCGTCACGCAGATGCCAAGTGGCGCCACAAGACTCAGGCCATAGTCCTCTCACCCCATAGCCTATCCTCTTCCCAAGACTCCTGTAGCTAGAAGCCATGCCAGGGGCAGGAGTGGTCTCCACAGCCTACTGGCTGCCTTGAACCCAGGCCTGACCCCCTCACCTCACACTGGAATGGGATACTGGGTCCAGGACCCCAACTCAGCAGATGTAGCCCCCTCCCCATATCCTGGGTATAAGCAAGGGTGACTCTACTCTTATACATGACATGTTATTGAGAAGACAAAGCTTCCAGGGGGAGAGAGGGTACAAGGAGACAGTGGCTGGAGCTCTGCTGCTCAGCTGACCACCACAGCAGGAACTCTAGGGCTTGGGAGACCCCTTGCTAGGATGGAAAACTCCTGAGCACCAGAAGCCCCGTGGTGCCACCCTCTCCCTTTGTCCCATCAGGACAGGTGGAAAGTCACTTGGAGATAGAGTGAGGAAGTCAGCCCGACTATCACACAATATCTCTTCAGGGGCTGGGTGGTGACTCCCTGTGTCAGCTGGGCTAGCCTATCATGCCCAGTTGCTTGGCACAGCAGACTAGATGTTGCTGTGATGGTATTTTTTAGATGTGATTAATGTTTAAAATCAGGAGACCATAAGTAAAGATTAATCTCTTCCATGTGGGTGGACCTCATCTCATCAATCGAAGGCCTTAAAAGGCTCAGATCCCCCAAGAAGGAAGAAATTCTGCCTCCAGACAGCCTCGGACTCGAGATTGCAACATCAACTCTTCCCTGGGTCTCTGCTGTAGATTTTGGACTTGCTGACCCCAAAATCAAATGAGCTAATTCCTTAAATCACTGTGTGTGTATAGATATAGATACCTATATAGACAAATCTAGATCTCGCTCTATGTATTTAGATTTAGGCATCTCTATATAGATGTATCTCCTATTGGTGTGTTTCTCTGCAGAGCCCTAATTCCAAAGTGCTACCTTTACCCATGACCTGAGCATCTTACATACTTTGTACGTCCCCTACTGACTCATCTGTAAAAGGTAGTAACAGTACATGCTTCATATAGTTGGGGTAAAGATTAAATGAGGTAAAATGTAAAGTGCTTAGAGCAGTGCCCAACACAGAGTGAACACTCAATCACTGTCACTCATTTCAGAACTATTGGAGTGCCTCCTAGGGGCCCTGAGAAACTCCCTGCCCTCATGGAGCTCATATTCCAATAGACAAGCAGGTGAAATACACAGTACGTCACGCAGTGAGAAGCACCATGGCGACAAATGAAGCAGGGAAGAGGTGTCGGGGGCGCAGAGTGGGGATGGGGTCGCCATTAGAAACAGAGCTGCAGGGAAGGACCGGGTGATGTGGTGGCATTAGGGTGGACCTGAGGCGGTGAGCTTGGCAAGCAGGAGGGGAGGCTGGCTGAAGTGGAGTCAGCCAGGGGAGAGGAAGAAAGAAAACCAGTCACCGAGAGTGTGGCAGGGCTGGGTGCTAGGTCACCTCGCTCTTTATAAGGGCGTTATCTTTTTCTCTACAATCAGGATGGGTCACAGGAGGGTTTGTCATGGGGAGTGGCACGATCTGCCTTATGCTGAACAGGGTCCCTCCGGCCACCACGCTGAGGAAAGATGTAGGGAGGCCGGGACAGAGGCAGGTGGAGCCCACAGGAGGTTACTGCAACAATCCCAGGAAGAGATGGCGACAGCCTGGAGCAGGTGGGAGCAGGGAAGGTAGGGAGAAGGATAAAAATTATTAATCATCCCCACCATCTCAAGCTATATTTAAAAAAAAAATGAGAAGGGAGAAGCCACACCTTCCGGCCGGAACACTCCAGGTGTTAATCCACAGTGAAGCACATGGAGCCCAAGAGAAGCACGAAAGAGCAAACAGCATCTGGGCAGACGCATGGGGAGCCGGGGGTGCGTGGGGATGAGCTGCCCAACCACAGGGCCCCATCCCAGGGAGGGGCCCTCTGAATTTCAGTACAGGCCGCTCTGCAAACAGGCCTCCGTTTAAGCAGGACTCGGGGCTCGCCTCCACAGACTCATCACTGTTGTGGAGGAACAGACAGCTAACGTCCCACTGACGAATGAGCCGCAGAATTAGAGCGAGCTCAAGTGGTGGCACTGTTCACAAAGCACTCCACGGGGCTGAGCGTGGGGAACTGTCACAGGCGTGGCGTGTCTAGGCAGCGGTGCCGGGAAACAACAGTGCTTCTCTTCCAGTTAGTTGGGAGGAGGCTTCATTAATGAAAGCCCTCCCCGTGAAGCTGGGACTCAGGGCCTGAGGTACACTTACACCTCTAGACTTTCATTAAAAATTATTCTGAAAAATGTCAAACATATAAAAAACACAGAGAATAACCAATACCCATGTGCCCACTGTCTGTGTGACATTTTGTTGTATTTTCTTCAGACTTTTTCAGAAATAAAACATTTATACTTGAAGCATTTTTTGTTGACTTTCATTTAAAATAAAAATTGCAGAATTCAAAGAGCTCTAAAAGCTAGAGTTCTCTACTTATCCTGCAGGAACTGAAGTGATAATATTCTCACAGATTTTCCAATTAGCAGGATTGGTCTACCCCAGCAGTTCTCCGAGAGGAGTCCCCAGGTGGTGGCATCTCACCTGGGAACGTGTTAGGAATGCACATTCCTGAGCCCCACCCTCAAGACCTGGAGAGTCAGGAGCTCTGGGAGTGGGGCCCAGCAGTCTGTGTTTTAATACATCCTTTAGGTGATTCGGATGCGCGTATGGGTTTGGGAACCACTGGTCTACACCGTAGGGTGAGTGGGCATTTGCTTAGTTGCCTGTGGGACGCTCCCAAATCTTCTAGGTGGAGGCCACTGTGCTCCTGGGCTGCTCTGGTGGGTGCCAGTGATTATGAGCAGGCCTCTGACATCAGTCAGACCTGAATAAATGTTCTTCCTCTGCTGCTTCCTACCTTCATAGTCCCAAGTAAATCACCCCACCTTTCTGGGCTGCAGTAAGTAGGAACATTAATTGTTCCTACCCCACCTGGTTGTGGAAAGGATATGACAGTCCTGGAACAGGCAGGACCAGCTAGTGCCACCACACAGCACTTGCTTTGGAGGCGGAGAAGGGACAGGTGGCCACCTTCCTGACAGCTGTGCCGACAGCCCTCCAACACCCAAGCCCAGACTCAGGGATCCCCAGGGCTGTCAGCCATCTGCAGGCCGTCTAGAAAATCTCCACCCAATGGAGAAGAAAAGAAGCCAGTGCTTGCATGGACTTGAGAAACCACCTAGAACCTTCTAGGAGAACATGAATGCGAGTGGGCCAAGACTGACAGGCTCTGCCACCCTCTTGGGCCCAGACCCCAATTCCTGGCCGGATAGGGAAGGCTTTTGTTTCACCTTCTTTCCTGTACTATAGTTTTCAGAAAGGAAGAAAATAAGAAAAAAGAACAAGAGATCTCAGTCCACAGACCTTTCCCTGTTGGAAGCTCAGAGGTTTCAAATGCTTTTAGCCAGAAGAAAGTTTAATTTCAAGATAAGCCTCACAGCCCTTCTGGCTTCCCTCTCTTCCTTCTACGACACCAGCAGGGAACAGATCGGACAAGGTTAATTACAATTCTGCTTTCTGCTCTTAATGCTCCACTGCGGGGTATGATTATGACAGCGGTAAAAGGAGGGGAAGCCACCGGCCTTTTCTCTGGCCTCCCGCAGACAAAGGCACTGGCAGTCTCCCGGGGCCCGCTGCCGGCCTGGGTGAGGGTTAAGTCATCCATTAACTCTCCCGGCTTGGAATGCGGGATGATCTCAGCTGTCAAGGGGGAATCAATCACTATCTGCAGCTACATTACTCCTCTTCTC